TTTTCCATCATCGCCAAACCTATCCATTAAAACTCTTCTTGAGAACCATTTGCTTGGATCGGTGGAATTTCATAATCAGCAACTCTAAGGAACTCTTTTTCCCAAGCTTCTCCCGATATGCATTTAGTTCGCTCATAAGTATCTGATTCTGCCGATGCGATGATATAAGAAGAATCACCAGGGACAACCTCAATCTTACCCCCAATCCACTGTACGAGGCATTGATGCATTGTAGAAGAAACACAACAATTAGCATGAATCCAATCCCTCCCTAGAAGCAGATTATATGCACCCTTGCCGTTAATAACAAAGAACGTCGTCGGCAAGGTTTTGTCTTTGCCGATGGTCAATTCAACGATACGCCCCTTTAGCCGGTGACACATTGCCTTCAAAATCTTTCAAAGATCATATCGGTTTTGGTCAAGTCTTGATCTCCCTTACCAAGTTTCCGATACATCACATAAGGCATAATATTAATCGCAGCCCTCCATCAATAAGTACCTTAGACACGAGTTGCCCATCAACTCGCCCTTCACAAACAAAGCCTTAAGATCTTTGTCTCTCGTCATCGGTAGGTTTCTCAAAAACAGCCATCATTGGATCTAGTGTCAACTGAGCTACTTGATCAGAGAGAACAACTTCTTCCTCATTATCGGATAGTGCCAAAAACTCCATTGGCAATATGAATACCATATTAACATCTGCCGATGGACCCTTATTTTTGTGTTTTACCTGCCACTGCTGATGACCGGACCTCTCATTGGAGGAATTTTCCTCTTGGTATAAATCCTCCTGACGCTCACGTTGCATCCTCCTTCTTTGCGTCTTCGTTAGACCCTCCGGGCACCATCGAGGAAACTTAGTTTTCCAAACCGGCTGATAACAGGTCCTAGTTGACTCTACACGGCGTATATTAGGGTCCCTGTAGAATATTTCCTCATCGGGAACTCTTGCATTTGCCATTTCCTCAAGCTCCTCTTGATTCCTTGGAAAATATCTAGCGCGTTTACCAAGCCTTTCATGTACACTAAGTTCGCCGCTTTGACCGATCATGCAATCGATGCTCTTTCCTCGATCGGATCATTGATAAATAAACCACGATTGCCGTGTTGAAACCTCCTTTCGACCGATTGACCCCATAATAACCATTGCACTCGTGGCAATTCTCAACGATTAGCAATTTAATACCTTCTTCCCAAAGAATGGATAAAAAACGGCACCTCCAATGATCTTTATGCCGATGCCATTCTTCCCGGCGTCTTTCTTCCTGCTTGTTGTCGATATCGATCATTACTGGCGACGCCAACCCTCCTGCTGCCTTCGATGAGTAATCACAATGCCAGTCGAGGAGGTTGTTTGGAACTCTCGCTTTCTCCCAAAAACCCTTACTTTTTTGCATCATCGGTAGTTATCCGATGTTGGGGATCCACCGACGCTGTTTTTCTCAAAGACCTCGGCGTCAATACCTTGGTCTTCCTTTGGCCTCCAATGTATTTGCTTTGGAAAAGGGTGTTGATCAATTTTCATCGGCCTCGGGCATTGGAAGTACCAAACTTAATTCTCCCAGATTCAATAGCCGATTGTAATCATTGTTCTGAACACCTTGCACTCATTTGTACTGTGTGTGAAGTTGCATTGTGCCATTTGCGTGATACAAGATCTTCTTCAACTCTTCTCGCCGATGGGATCACATGATTAGGTGACGACTTAATTTGGCCCTCTTGAAGCGAAGATCAAATATCTTGTCGGCCTTGGTGATATCAAAGGTAAACTTTTACGGCTCTTTACGACCAAAGGGACAAGATATCGGCCTTTTATTCTTAACCCACTCACCAAGCCGATAACTGGTTCTTCATCGAATCGAATCTCCTACTTCCTCAACAAATGATACTTTTTATTCCAATTCTTTTTAGGTTCAAAACCCTAGTGTCTTGATCGAAAATCCTTTGCACAAGATGACCGAGACTTTCAAACTCCCGAGAAGCATATCTGCTCTTTAAGATGTGGCAATAACCTTTGAAAGCCAGATCGGCAAGTCACCGATCATCCAAAGACCTGACATCAGTAGCACTTATTCTTTACATCTCTTAGCCTTTGCACAAAGCTTTCTACCGATTCATCATTACGTTGTCTCAATTTTACCAAATCGGTAAGCTTCTTTTCATGGATTCCACAAAAAGAAATACTTATGAAATTGTTTTTCTAGATCAGCCCAAGTAATAATAGAATTCGGTGGTAATGAAATGAACCATGTAAATGCCGATCCGGACAAAGATGATGAAAATAATCGAACCCTTAATTCATCTCTCGCTAGCTACCTCTCCACATTGAATAATGAAGCGATTGACGCGTTCCATTGTTGATGTATCATCTTGCCCAGAGAATTTAGTGAAATCTGGTACCTTGTACCGATTTGGGAGAGGAATTAAATCATATGCGGGAGGGTATGGAGTCCGATAAGAATAAGTATTGACCTTGGGCTTTATCCCAAACTGATCCTTCATAATTTACGCTATCTTATCGGCCCAAAAAGCATCACCTCCTCACGTGAACTGGCTGAATTTCTCTGAGAGGTACCTGGCGATATGCTTCCACATATCTTTGTGGCCCACGATCTCCAATCGGCATATTTGCCGTTACTTGTGGTTCATTAACTTTGTTGGAAAGGATTCATCGGTTTGAGTCATGCCGATGCTTGATTCTCGAAACCCAGCTTGCATATGACCTTGTTGAATCCTCGCAACTTTGCCGATTTTGTTTTGAATCTGTATGCTTTGAGCAATCGTATCACGACCAACCATTATTAGAACTCATCGGTACAAAACTTACCGATGGCTAATAATTCTTCGACATTGTTGGATAATTATAACCAGACTTGAGGCATAAACCGAACCCCGCTTTGACTCATAACGAGGGCTTTTCTGTTGTATCGGCGAAGTAGCTTACCGATAGATTTGAATCAGGGCGTTTGAACCAAAGGCATCCGAAAACCCCCGGAGTTGGTTGCACAAAGAGTTGCTGTGGTATATTGAGGCACTTGGGCCATCGGCGAAACAACCGATGGTATATGAGCTTTTCCTACTGCATCAAACACTTGAGGTAATCCAGATTGAAAGCGGATGACTCGGGAGGCATACCATATCCCCACCAATTAGCGGAATCGGCTATTTTGAGACACAGGACTGACATATAGCTGATGCCGATAGATCTGTATTAAGCTGAATTCGTCCTCCTGGTAGTACCGGATCTGATCGTATCGGTGTAGATTGAATATTAGGTAAACCTGCCGATCTTCGGAAAGAAGTAACTTCAGTACCCTAACGGCCGAGGGAGCCGATGGAATATTGACAGATGCTTGGTTACGGTTGGTGATAGGCGGGCCCAACATAATGCGGTGGCGCTTGTCCTTCTTTGAGAGTTCGAACCACAAATTATGAACAAAGATTTGACAACACATTGGAATGATTAATCAAAGCATGATTTATTGCGAAATTAACCATCTCTTGAAGTTTACCAGATTGGAGTCAAAGGTAACTTTGCCGAGGCAACGGCAAATCTTGCTTCGGATGACTTGTCCACTCTTGTTCAAAGCTAAACGATTTCGATACAAAGTCGCTCAGTATTCTTCTACAACCTTTTCCATAGCCTGCCTCTGCTCTTCCTTAAGATCTTCTTCTGATACCGCGATAATGTTCCCCGCATCGATCTCGGAATTGAACATATTGATCGGATTGATTGGTCCCACCGAGCGTGCCAAAAGATGTGTTGATGCAAAAGTGGATCTACAAACATAAAGGGCTAATACCCGAATCGATATCCAAAGCGTGCCAGTCGATTTGACCTGTTAATCGACAAGGATGAAGATACGAGCACTTTGGTCCTGACAACAGCGATACGCCCGAAAGTCACGGCCAAGGGGTACTCACGCGGAACTCGAGAATCGCCGAAGGTCGCACTGAGACAATGCAACTCGCCGAATCAATGAGAACTCGTAAAAAGAAAAATATGCAAATTGACGAAGTCGCCGAAAAGTAAGTAGATGTAAATAGGAGTAAAACTTGGTTTTGATATTGATTGATATATTCATTACATTGCCCCTCACTCCATATTTATACCCTGATCTAAAGAGACACAACCAAACACAACTAGGACACCAAGCCCATATCTAAGGAAACACGTGACTCTTACATGAGTCATACTCTAACAAATATAGAAAAGGAAATCAACTCCTATCTATTTCCCTGTCCGCCTCAATTACGATGGAAATCTCACCGTCCTCCTTCCCATCGGCATACTCCCTGTTTCATCGACAGTAGCCTTCAAGTCTTCCTTCATCGGCATACTCCCTGTTTCATCGGCAGTAGTCTTCAAGTCTTTCTTCATCGGCATACTCCCTGTTTCATCGGCAGTAGTCTTCAAGCCTCAAGCCTCCCTTCATCGGCATCGACAATAACACCTCCAACATCATCGGCAACGCCCGAGTCTAAATCAACCTTTCCATCGACCACCACCAGCTATCGGCAACCATCTTTACAAGCTGGCTTTCATCGGTTATCAGAGTATACAATAACTTTCCCCTTGCCGATCAGTCCACTCCGATCATTTTGACACGTGCAAAAAACGGTGTCAACAAGCTCCCATGCATGTTTGTGCACCTATTAGTCTTACTATCATTACTTCAACATAGTTAAATATTCTTTTTTCTGGACAAATTAACACAGATATTTTTTTTGTCGAATAGGAGTATTTGGCTTATGCTACTCTATCTTTCTTAACAGAAAGAAACTGATTGCATGATGCCGTTTAGGCATGCAACCTAATTAATGCAAGTAAGAGAGACGGACGGAAATTTCATAATTTGTTCCACTGGTGGTGTCAGTTTGCCCTATATCATTCTATATATAATAATAGCAAGTAAAATGGAAAACTGCATGTACTGTATATTAAAATAACCCAAGATAATTAACGTGCCGGAAAGAAACAGCAAGTATGTAGTTGTATTACGAAAATGTTGAAGGCTGAAAATAGTATAGTGCAGTTCGGTAGTGAACTTACTACAACGTTTATGTGAGCTAGATTCGCCTTGTTCTCTTCCGATTCACACCACTCCTTCAGTTCCTGGTTGGATGTAATCTCTAGCTTCTGAAGTTTGGGGAGGTGCTGTATACATGGAGGCAATGACTTGATGCTATAGCAGCCAATGATGACAAGGCTTTTTAGAGAGGAGAGGTCGCCCAGCCACTCAGGCATTGCAGATATGCTATAGCGGCATTGCAACGTCAACGACTCAAGGGAAGTGAGGTGCCGCATGCTTTCCGGCACGTTTGTCAGGTTATCTCCAGAGATTGTCAACTCTCGGAGTAGAGGGAAGTGGTTGAATAGCCTTATATGCAGGAGTCGCCCCATAGTGTCAAATCCAATTTGATGGCTGGACTAGAGGAAGAACAGTGATGATTGGTTTTGTCTACCTCCAATGAAGATATAACTTGGTCGCTGTATTCTATATAGCACTCATGAAACGTTGGTGGGCATGGTTTCAACCTCAACCTTCGACAACATGCTATAGCAGCCAATGATGACAAGGCTTTTTAGAGAGGAGAGGTCACCCAGCCATTCTGGCAGTGCTGATATGCGATCGCACCAATCCAACGTCAGTGACTCAAGGGAAGTGATGTGCCGCATTTTTTATGGCGGGCTCGTAAGGTGATCTCCAGAGATACGCAAACTCTCGCAGGTCAGGGAAGTGGTGAAATAGCCTTATGCTGTGGCAGGAGTGGTCCAGTATATGCAAATCCAATTTGATGGCTCGACTAGAGGAAGAGCAGTGATGACTTGTTTTGTCTACCTCCTCCAATGAAGATATAACTTGGTTGCTTCAAAATATGTTGCCGAACCGAAATAACCGAAACAGAAACCGAATTAACCGAAACTGAAAATTTCGGTTCCTAGTTCAGTTCCCTGTTCTCAGGAACCGAAATAATGTCGGGTAATTCGGTTCCAGACCTCGGTTATCCGAACAAAACCGAAGAACCGAATCTGTACATATTGGCCCAATAGCAAAAGAACCGAACTGTATGGCTGATGTAATGTATGGCTCGGTTATGTAATGTATGGCTCGGTTTTCATTTTTCCCCTTTTCTTCCCTTCTGTTTCGCTGATGTAATGTATGGCTCGGTTAGTTTGGTTCTAACCGAAACCGAACCGAACTAACCGAGACCGAATTTCCTCGGTTCCAAGTTTCCTAGCTAACCGATCGGTTCTAGTTTTATGCTAACCGAATTTTATAAAGAACCGAGGTACCGAACCGATCGGTTTCGGTTAACCGAATGCCCAGGGCGACTTGTACCGCTGTAACCTTCGAGGTGCATGCTCTTCAAACCTGCCATAAACGTGAAATTTCCAGGTGTTGCAGTGCGGTTAGGCCACGCACACCTGCCAGTGACCCTCTCCGTATGCGCCTGCAACATGACAAATTTAGATGCGACAAACTTTGGAACTTCATGAGTGACTCTTGCAGTTCTCTGATTTGTTCACAGCCTGACATGTATAAATGTCGTAGATCAACTAGGCTGCCAATACCTTCTGGTAGCCCTTCAAGACAAGCAAATGATGATAAGTTCAAATATTGGAGTTGTGTTGGGCAACACAATGATCGAGGTACTGCTTTTACACTAGAACATCCAGATAATTTAAGATGTTGCAGATGTTTGAGATAACCAAGAGAGTCTGGCAGTTCTCTTAACCCTGAACAACCTGACATGTCCAGATGCACAATACTTTTTAAGTCACCAAATGACTGACAATTTGGATATACCAGAACAACCGGACAACAGACCGCTCATACAACAGGAAGAGCAGGTCAAGCTTACAACGCGAGCCTCCACATGCTCACTAGTACAAGGTCTGAACTTCAGACATAAAAGGTAACTAGGGATACAGACTGATCCAAAACTACAAACTGTACTAAGGACACTTCTAGGCCAAAAAGGCAAGGGGTAGCTAGTTACAAGACTTCGCCTATGACCAAAATTGCAGGCCTGATGCCTACTAGTTTGGTGAAGGGAGCAGGCGCACCAGAACGGCATGTCGTGGTGACGATGCTCCACAACTGGCACGAGCAGCGGGTCAATCATTCCGCCAGGGGCAGCGAAGCTGCCGCACCTGAGAGACTAGCCTGCTCCTCTTCGGTGGCACCGCAGGCAGGAGCAACCTCGACGAGGTTCTCATTGTCACCTGAGGGGGACATAGGGTTAGAGAGCAGATGAGAACGAGCAAGGACGGTACGAAGGCGTCGAGACGCACCAGAGAAGTCAAATTTAGCTTTCTGAACACGGGAGGCCTTGTCCGCAGGGAGCTGAGTGGTGCCGGACACAGCGTTTACGTGCCTGGCTCTCATGTTCTTTATGAGTAGGGGCACCCAGAGAGAAAACTAGGGGGCCGTCCAAAGCCAGGGTGGCAAACGCACTTGCCACATCATCATCACGTTTACGGACTGGCGCGATGGTGTCAATCACCAGGCCAGTCACTGGCTGCTCAGGGCCCGGCTCATGCACAGCTGCGACGTCAGGCACCTCTTCCTCTTCCTCTCTCCTCTTCCGCCTCTTTCTCTTCCTCTTCCTCGAAAACCTGCAGAGTGTGTACTGATTAGCTATCGTTCCAACTCTGTTGGAAGGACGGAAATTATTTTTTGGCCAAAAAAATCTGTACAATGCATAGTACATTAATAGCTCGCATGCATGTTTGTGCACTTATTACTTTGACTATCAGTACTTCGACATAGTTAAATCTTCATTTTTCCGGACAAATTGACACAGATATTTTTTGTCGAATAGGAGTATTTGGCTTATGCTACTCTATCTTTCTTAACAGAAAGAAACTGATTGCATGATGCTGTTTAGGCATGCTACCTAATTAATGCAAGTAAGAGAGACGGACGGAAATTTCATAATTTGTTCCACTGGTGGTGTCAGTTTGCCCTATTATTCTATATATAATAATAGCAAGTAAAATGGAAAACTGCATGTACTGTATATTAAAATAACCGAAGATAATTAACGTGCCGGAAAGAAACAGCAAGTATGTAGTTGTATTACGAAAATATTGAAGGCTGAAAATAGTATAGTGCAGTTCAGTAGTGAACTTACTACAACGTTTATGTGAGCCAGATTCGCCTTGTTGTCTTCCGATTCACACCACTCCTTCAGTTCCAGGTTGTATCTAATCTCTAGCTTCTGAAGTTTGGGGAGGTGCTGTATACATGGAGGCAACGATTTGATGCTATAGCAGCCAATGATGACAAGGCTTTTTAGAGAGGAGAGGTCGCCCAGCCACTCAGGAAGTGCGGATATGCTATCGCAGCCTCGCAACGTCAACGACTCAAGGGAAGTGAGGTGCCGCATGCTTTCCGGCACGTTTGTCAGGTAATCTCCAGAGACTGTCAACTCTCGGAGTAGAGGGAAGTGGTGAAATAGCCTTATGCAGGAGTAGCCAAAAAGTTTCAAACCCAATTTGATGGCCCCACTAGAGGAAGAGCAGTGATGACTGGTTCTGTCTACCTCCTCCAATGATGAAATAACTTGGTCGCTCTCATATATAATGCAATCACGAAATGTTGGTGGGCATGGCTTCAACCTCAACCTTGGACAGTATAGAATCTGCAGACGGTCCAGCACAGGGAACATGAACTCCTCCACACCCTCCTCAACAGAGTATGTTGTGTTCCACTCCTTCAAGCCTATCATCTCTATGACTTTGAAGGATGTCAATCGACGGAATGCTCCTTTGCCACCGCAAAATTCCCTGTCGATTCTTTTAATGCGAGGCAAATTGAAGAGCTCCAGGTTTTCTAGGTGCCGTAACTGTCCAAGTGGTGGCAGGTTGCTACACGTAGGCAGATCTTGCAGTCGAATATAAACAAGGTTTGTGACATAAAAAGTAATATCCATAAGCCAGACTGGAAAGCGTGTACAGTTGTAACCTTGGAGATGCATGTGCTTCAGGCCTTTTGGTGGCACTAGTTCTCCCAACAAATCTTTGTCCTTCAAAATTTGTTCCGCACGCTCAGTCGACCAAGCCAATGTTAACTTGGACAGATTATGTTTGCCTGACAACTTAACTTTAGTTGCTTCTTCTAGAGACCTTACATTTTCAAGACAACGTATTCTTAACTCACTGACATGGGCGCCCTCGAGCAGAGGAAGATTGCTGCAACCATTGTCATCAGCACGAACCCTGAAGACTGGTAATATTAGTGAATAATTTATCACTGAACTGGCCTGATCCAGCAGTTCATCCGAGCACCCATCCAGCAATAAAGTCTTCAGCCCAAGTGTACCTATACTCTTTGGTAGGGACTTAAGCTCAGAACATTCCGTAAGATCCAGTGTATGCAATCTTTTGAGGGTACCAAAACTTTCTGGAAGAAATGCAATATTATAATTATAAGATAGGTCCAGGTGCTCCAGATTGGTAAGGCCACCGATCCCATAAGGGAAGACATAACTACCCCTGCCATGTATGATTGAATTTCTTAGGCCCAAGTACTTGAGATTGGTGAGGTTTGCCAAAACATATGATAAATCTTGAACACTAATATCAAATACCCGTGACATATTCAGGTGCTGTAGTGTGGTGAGGCCACGCACACCTCCCAGGTACCGCATGCTGGTGCAGCATGACAGATCTAGATGCAACAAATTTTGGAGCTTCATCAGTGACTCTGGAAGTGCTCTGATTTTGTCACAGGATGACATGTTTAAATATTGTAAATCCATGAGACTTCCAATAGCTTCTGGTAGCCGATCAAGGCATCCACAAGATGATAAGTCCAAATATTGGAGTTGTGTGAGGCCACACAACGGTTCAGGTATTGCTTTTACACTTGAGCATCCAGATAAGTCAAGATGCTGCAAATTCCTGAGCTTACCAAGCCAGTCTTCCAGTTCCCTTATCCCAGAACAGCCTGACATGTCAAGATGCACCATACATTTTAAGTCCCCAAATGATTCTGGCAGTTTCGATATACTAGAACAACCAGACAAACATAGATATTTCAGACATCCAAGCTTGCCAATTGATTCTGGCAGTGCAGAAATCTGAGAAGATCCATTTATATTTAGGTACTGCAGTTTTCCTAGCTCAGTGATACACTCCGGGAGACTCTCATTTTGCATTCTTGGAGCAATAAGACACCTCAGTTGCTTCAGTTTGCCAATTGAAGCTGGCAACAATATACCTGAGCATTCACTGAAATCCAAAATGCGCAGACAGTTCGCAAATGAAAATGCACCACTCTGGATATGCAGTTCGCCACTATCTGAGAAGCGAAGTGCCCTAATCTTGGAAGGCAAAATACTTGCCAACTTTATTGTCTGGTCATAATTTTTTAGCAATGAATAGCGACAATATTTCTGGCCACGTGTATTTCTCTGTTGTGCGTTGAAATCTATTAGCTTGTCATCCATTGTTAATCTTGCCAGGTCGTGCACCAGGTCATGCATGGTGTACCTCACCACTTGCTCTCGAGAAGTCTGAAAGGACAAGTATATAGCAATATTGATTAGAAATGTCAACTGATGCTCACATTTTATAAAGAGAAGTAAAGTCCAACGATCAGATGCAAATAAACTGCAAGGAAACCCTGTTTACTTATGAGAATGGAGAGAGGGAATTAAGTAATAATTTTTTTTTAAAAGGTTGATATCCAATTATAAGTTGCACCGAATTCTAGTACAATTCGTGTGCAGAATTTTTAGGACGTCCTTCTGAACAAGGTTCTGTTCAAAACTAATGTTTTTTGCGGTCTATGATATTTAATCTTCAATATCAATTATATCATAAATTAATCGGGCTTCATAATTATATATCCTAAGCATGTAAGACAAAAGTCCAATCAAAGATATACACTAGGGACTACTAACTGCCTGGATTGGAAGTATAAAATACAACGATATGTACAAATTATTGTTTGTTACCAGTGTAAGTAGAATACAACAATATGTAATTATGCAAGTATAAAATTTCTTCTTTGCGTTATTAAGAATTTTTTTATATACAGATACAAAGAATGTAAACAGCTCCACTAATATGATTAAGAACATTAAGTTCTCCAAGAAGCGCTGCAGCTACATCCCAAATTGTTATGGCTGTTGGATTTACTAGTAAATATGCTCATTTATATGTTACTAGTGAAAAATAATTTTCTCACGTTCCAACCTATAAACATGCTCATATATTTGGGCATTGAAGCATGGCTGAAGGGGCCAAAGAAACTTCGGTTTATGCCCTTTAGACCTTTGTTGGCCCGTTAGATTCTAAAAACAGGGCTGTGTTGAGTGTGGTTATAGTTTCCATACCACAGCCACCCATTGTTACAGGATGAACTGCCACCATTCGTGACTACTCCACACAGTGACAAATGCATAGCGTGTGTGTATATGCATAGCGGACGAAGATAAGAACAATGTCATGGGATCATATAGTGTGCTCAGAGGTGGCGCACGAGTTGAAGTCACTGTGAATAGGATCACCAGAATGTCCACCGAATGAAGAAGGATACACGAACTGGATTGTTTGGTGAATACAAGACATGTTCCCAGCGTGGTTAGAGAGGGACCCACAAAAGTACTTTTTTTTTAAAGACCCACAAAAGTACTTAGTGAAGCTACATGCTACTTTACATGATATTACCTATAACTATATTGGATTGTATATATCATGCTTTTTAGGACTAGATAAAATATGTACTTCCGGGCAAGCATATTGCCACTTAGTGTTATTTTTTTTACCACAACTAGAAATGCATAAGGGACAATCATTTAACTAATTATCTACTATGGGTTTTGCTATGGTACACCCAAATAACTATGGACCGTTGATCTGGATGGTTGTAATTACATATTACCACCTGACAGTTAATAAGAGAACTGTACTTTGTTTCTTCAAAAAAGAGAACTATACTTTATTGTTTTGAGAAATAGGAAGGTAAGCCAAATTTTAGGTAAAGTATCTATAAATTAGATCTAACATGCATGCAAACATGCAAAGGCATATATATGAATGTTTCTCTACATAACATGTAACGTTTTTTTAATTAATTGGTCTATGCCAACGGTTCCATACATACACGTCTTGTTTTTTCAACACATTGATCTATGTGGAGTTGTCATTTATCCCATGATGCTAAACTTAAGTTGTATTTTTTTGTTCAGTGTGACAAATATTGAGGCGTATTTTAGTTATTTACTTAAATTGAAACGTGAACATGTTGGTATTTAAATTGTTTATTTATTTTACATGCTAGGCATGGGGTCTTGAACGTGAATTACTTGAACCAGGTCCAGCACAAGTGCTAGGCACAAGGGTGTACCTTAGCAAGGCCCATCAACTATATAGTGTATATGTTATGCATGCAACATGCCTATAGGAAAGCATGACGTACAATAGGAATCAACATAGTTATAATCATCAGGAAAAAGTAGTGTTCCAGAAGTTGTATGTAGCATACCGAGGGCAACTTTGAAACATGAAGAAAGGACATTCCCAGAAGTTGCTTGATATATTCCTTTGCCTTTGATTGCTCCGTAAAATCTAGAGCAATCCACTGTTGAGCCAAATCATCTCCGACAATATTATGGCCTTTCGGGAATATGGAACAATAGGAAAAGCATACCCTGAGCTGTGGTGGCATCCTTTCATAACTTAATTTCAAGGATGGAAGCACATCATTGTCTTCAGAAGATATTTTCCAGATATCACTGCTATTTATTTCAATCCATCCAGACAGATCATCTATTTTTTGTAGCATGGATCCAACTGCTTGAGCTGCTAATGGCACACCTCCACATTTCTTTGCAATATCCAATCCTATTTGCTCCATATTTTCTTTGTTAGGTTTCTGTTCAAACATGCTAGATCTCTTAATTATTTCCCAACATATATGATCTTCCAAATGTCGTAGCGTGTATGGTTCACCGGTGGAAAGTTTCCTTGCAATCTGTTCCTTGCGTGTAGTTACTACGACATCTACCTTACTGCCCTTGACCTGAAGCATTCTTCTCAGTTTGTCCAACTCGGTCATCTTTTCCTCCCATAAGTCATCTAAAACAATCAGAACCTTCTTGCCTAGGAGTAGGTTTTCAAGGCATTGGTTTATCACCTGCTGTATTCCCATATTTTGTGGACCTCCTTGGCTTGGTAGTTGAGAAATGATAGAGCTTCCTATTTTGTTCAAATTGAAGTCTTGGGACACATAAACCCATATACGATGATCATACATTTTGAACTGGACATCATTGTAAACTAGTTGTGCCAAAGTACTCTTACCCATACCTCCAAGGCCACAGATAGTGACAATCACTATCTCATCGTTGTTGGTATTTGCAGATAACAACTTTATGATTTCCTGCTTTTCTCCGTCCCTTCCAATCAATGGTTCTTCACGCAAATATGATGTTGTTTCACGTTTATCATAAGGCTGCTCATTATTAGTATTACTGCCCTTTTTGAAGTCAAAGATAGCAATTTCTTTTTCAATTTTCCTCAGTTTTTCTTTCAAACTCTTCATCCTATTAGCCATAGCAATCTTCTTGTATGCCACTAGCAGCCATGAGAGAACTCCTGGCATCTGCAAGAGTTAGATTTAGTTCTTAGTAGGAGCCTACACTAAGCAAAGATGCATCAAATTGTATAAAATTATGATCAATATAACCTATTCAATAACCACAAACTGAATAAGAACATGCTAGATACTTGAAATCTATTAGTAAAGAATGATCAAACTATAATATATCCCTACACACTGTCACACACAAATTAAGAAATATTGTTTTTGGTTTCATCTTTCTATTAAATATGAAAAAAATTGTCTGCATCAATAGCCAAGAACGTCACTAGGGGACCATTCATATTACTTACACTCTTTGTTCGAAAATATAAAAATATGTACATGATCTGGGAGGTGACACCTTACCAATTTATATAAAATATGTTCAAAATAAAGATAATTAAATGTTGTCAAAATTGGTTTTTCAATAATAGCTATAATTCAAGTATTTCCTTAAAATGTAAAACAAAGAAGATTGAGCAACTCAACCTTGAGGTAGAACACCACTAGACAGGTGTCTCTTCAAGCCAGAAACGATATCTTAATAACTAATGAACAAACAGTAAGAACCGTTGTGCTAAAATCACAAAATGAGAACTTGCCTGTTTCTGATAAAAAATAAAATGACCAAAAAGATATCGTATTATGTAAAATGATATCGGTCTTTATAAGATTTTTTCCATGCCACTATACAGCACATGTCATTGCATGAGTCATGCCTGCCACCATGACTATTTTATCCACTCGCCGGCTAAGCCATCGAGATCCATTAATGTCTCAACCACCTCAAGAAGCCTGTAGGAGCACTGCCCCTTTACAATGCTTCGATAGCGCTGCATAGGCACCATAGTACTGCATAGGCACTGTGCCAACCTCTTACAGCGGTGCACCACTAATATTTATGTATGCTTCTTGTGGCCCTCCATTCAAAATGGTGATGTCCTAAGCATCACCTGGACCACCACCCTCTTGCACCCTCCTAGCATGCTCACCCTCTCATATGCCTGCACCATGGTCACTCTACTAGTAGACGAAACTAGCTAGCCATGGTGCTCCACTAAACAAGACAAAACAAGGCCATGGAAACATCATTTTACATACCTACTGTGATTTTTTAGCACACTGGGCTTCTTTCTCTTCGGAGCAAATTGGCCTCATATCCCTAAGTCTCTTTCTCTATCTAAATCATCGCGTCCCATTATCCTCTTGTTTGACCGTCATGTGCGCAATTTCCAAATTGGACTTAAGGATCATTAGCAAGGTCCATGGCGGACTTACTTCTATTGTCAACCAATGGTCCATGGAACCACTGAGCCAGTCCATGAACACATGGACAACAATCATACATCTAGCGCATGGTGCCAGGCAACCACTAGAAGAAAATATAAGCAAACAATGGTTGACAGCATCGCCCGACTAATCAGTCTCTCATGCTGGAGAACAATATATTCTACAAATAAAAACTCATGAGTAACAAAACGTACACGTAGATGCATTTATAGTCCATCCCCTCCCTTGAAAAATTCTCAAAATCGTTCATCAAAGTGCTATTGGATTCTGAAGTCCAATTCTTGTGTTTCTAGCCACACTCCATGTCCAAATAAATTTCCTATAAATCTTGCACTGTCTGAAAGCACCAAAATGCAGCATATCTGATTCTCTTTTCCATCTAAGTTCCAAAATTGAGCTCTATCTGCCATATCCAACCGAATAGCAGCCATCTCCTCTCCCAGGCCACCCAAACCGTAGCCCACCGGCACCCTATCTCCCCCTCCCCCAACGCGCCGCCGCCGGAGCAGGCCGATGTCAAGGCCGTGCAGCTTGACGGGATGGCGGTGGCGGGGCTTTTTCCAGCTTTGCTTGCGTGTTTTCAACGTGGAGGCAACAGTGGGACGGCGGGCCAAGCTCTTGCGCATGCTGCAAGGGGCTCGATTTGTGCGGCACTGGTGCCATATGCTCACTACTACAGAAAACTTACTGGAGGCGGGTGTTTTCGATTTACCGAGGCAGGCATCATAACCACCTCGGTCCAAAGGTCGTTGTAAATCACCAACTTACCGAGGCGGTTGTATTGCCCAGCTCGGTAAATCATTTTTAAAAAATTAAAAAAATGAAAGCCCACCAGCGAGCCCGCTTGCTCCGCACGGCCCCACCGCCGCCGCCGTTGCCTCCCCGTGTGCCTCCACCACCGGATCCGGCGTCCCTGCGTCGTGCCACCGCCTGAGCCCGCCGTAGGGGCCGCGTCACCACTTCGAAGCCCTGCCGGAGCGCACGGCACCCCATCGCTGAGCCTCGCCGGTGCATGCGGCCCCCCGCTGCCAGGTGCGTGCCTCCTACAAGCCCCGGCGGAGCACGCGGGCCCCAACTACCAAGCCCTCGCCATCGTGTGAGGAGAGAGGTGAAGGAGAGAAGAAAGAGAGAGGCCAGAGAGAAGAGGGTCAAGCGGTGCTGAGTCGGGGCATGAGCGGCGCATAGGAGAGAGGTGTGGGAGAGAAGAGTGAGTGGATTTTGGAGCTAGGTTTTCGTTTGGGTTATATATTGTGGCCTGAGTTTTGGGATTTTGCAAGGCGGACAATTGCAAACGCCTCATTATTAATACTAATGCCCTTTCTGAAGTTAAAGCTATCAATTTCGTTTCTGACTTTGCTCAGCTTTTCTCTCAAAGTTTTCATCAATTGGCCCACCACCATCTTGCACCCACCTAGCCTCCTCACTAATCTCCTTACAGCAACATGGTCACTCTTGCAGTGGAGGAAATAATCCCTATATCCCTTAGTCTCTTTCTGTCTATACCATCATGTTACCTGTAACGCCTTGAAATTTGCATTCTTTTGAAATAGCACAAATTGATTTATTTATGCAATTGTGTGAGCATTCAAATGTAGGAAATAATAACTTTTGTTGAATTAAAATCCATCATAAGGTTAGGAACATATTTCTGGATTACATGCTGGCGCATATTTATTTCTGTACTGTATGTTTTTATTTCAAACTGAATTAAAATTCCTTTCGAAAATGATTTGGAAAATTCAGTTTATGCAGAAAAGAAAAAGGAAAAACTTCTCCCCCCCCCCTCTCTTTAGTTTCAGCCTGCTAGCCTTTCCCTTCTTCACTCCGCAAGCCTAGGGCGCCAATCCGGCTCAGCACGCTCGCCCTCTAGCCCATCTGGCCGGCCCAGCCGGAGCATAGGCGCGCGCTCCCCTTTGCAAAGTCTAACCGACGAGAGGTCACGCTCCAGCGCTTGTGCGCGACCTACGCGACCTGCCATCCAGAGCTTAAAATCATCTAATCTTATCCATTTTAAATCCAATTTCGGTGATTCTCGCGTATGTGTGTTCGTAGTGATGTGTAGATTAGTTTATAAACTTTTCAACTTGTTTTTCCACTATTGGTGTACTGTTCTAATTATAGTTCTTGTTTGCTTTGTGCATGATTGCCTGGATGCTTGTGTGTTGCTGTATTGATGATCGATTGTAGACGGTGAGAAGTACGATGGTGAACAAGGCCAATACTTTAACGAGCAGGACCAGCAGGAACACTTTGAGCAAAGCAAGTATAGCATGAGACTATCCTTATTACCTACACACTTTATAATCATTATAATTCATGTTGCATGTGTCTAGTTTTGCTACCCCTAAGGAATGATCTATCTTTTGTGATCTTGATACCTTGACAGCTATGGGTTTACTTGCATATGGGTAGCATTTGCTAGCGTTCAATTTAATTATACATGATCTGAACAATAACTAATGGCTTTATGCAAGCTTTTTAGCAACTTGGTTATAGGGCAAGGGGGCTCTAGGCTTTTATACATGATGCTCTTGGCCCTCCCTAAGGACCTATCTGAAGAAAAATCCGGAACTTATAGTATAACCGTGAGGGCTACATGGCTCTGGCTTTAGTTCAGTTCAAGGACCTTTTCTAGCATGTTAGTGGTTACCTTTATGGCGTAAAAGGGGCTTGACACGATGGGTATGGGACTGCCTCTGTTCCTATGTGTATAGCCATGATGGAATGTGCCATTTGAAAGAGGGGTTCCAACATCTACTTGCAATCGAAACCTATAGCAGCCACTAACTTGTTAGATGAACCTTTGAAAAATTACATAGTATACCTTACCTGCTCACCTTGCAAGTGTTTTTGGAAGTAATTAACTAGGCATATGGGCAACACGACTCATGGTGAAAGTGTACAACATTTGCAAAGTGTAAAACTATTATAACAGCTGTTCTCGCGATCACGGGCCGCCTAGAAAACTTATGAAATATTGCTTACACTATGATGATGTTGATATATGATTAAAATTGCTCTCATTTATGATCATGTGGTTTAATTAGGGCTTAAACATAACTTGTTGCTATTTAATGCTAAAATTGTGACTCGATAAAATGCTAAACGCAGTAAACCATTGTCATTCTTTTGAGCTTCATAACCCCATATTATTCTTGTTGAGTACGAGATGTACTTATGCTTGTTTATTTTTACTACTTAGATAAAAATCCCGGATGGGTAACAGATTATGATGGTTATGCTGAGTTTTCTAAGGATTATTTGACTTGCGATCAACCAGTTGACCGTTCGTGTGGCTATGAAGGCGCCATGAAGTTATCTTTATTTATTTCCGCTTTGTGAGACTTTGATATTTATGTAATGGATTAACACTCGTGATGTAATAAAGCTATGTGCTTGGTATTTATGTGTGTGATTGTTTCTTGGGCACACATATAGCTTGTACCCAGTTTTTGTCTTTAAAATTGGGTATGACATTACCTTATCCTCATGTTTTTTTTAGAATATTACCTTATTCTCATGTGTAACTGCCAATTGTGCAATTACTAAATCAGTCTTAAGGATCTTCGACACGGTCCATGATGGACTTACCTCTACAGTCGACCAGTGGTAAAATGGTCAACATGGTGAAACTAAAATATCGATGGTCCACATGGTGCCACGCAACCAGTAACGAAAATTAGCCAACCAAAATGGCTGACAACATGGTCAAATTAATCGGTCTTTCACACCGTAGAAAAAAAATGTATTTTACAAAAAAATCCGGAGAAAATACGTATGCAAATCCATTTAGAGTCCTTTCCGTCCCTCAGGAAATTATCAAAACAATCCACCACCACCAAGAATCCTATTTAATTCCGAAGATCAACTCAAGTGTTTCTTGCCACACTACACGTCCAAATAAATTACCTAAAAATCTCGCCTTATCCAAAAGCCCCAAAATGCAGCATACCCGATTCTATTCTCCAACTGAATTCCAAAACTTGCAAAATTATATAGTACTGTACAAGCTTATTTATAGTTTGGTGAAACCTCTTGCGCTACAAACAAACTTCTCAAACTATTATTTTATTGCTATGTGACATCCTCACTTCCTCCATCTAAAAAAGGTGTTTTAGGATTTTTAGGGTAGAGTAAGAAAGTTGTGAAATAACCATTGAAGACCCTATTAATTAGGGGTTGTTCCAGTTATCAAATGCCGAGGCTAGTGTTTGTACAATGAGGCCAGTGGAAGCTTTCATTTCCCAGTTTCCAAGACAGCCACGTCAGAATGAACTAGCATGAAACTGGGTCTCTCAATGCACAGTTTCATTACACTGTGTCATAGTCGAGTTGTAGTATTTAATTCCTACATGGTGTTGTGATCATATGTGTCAAGTAAACTATGTGGCCTTGTGAGTTGTGATCAAATGTTGGATATGATATGCGCAGCCGGCAATAGACTTAGATTAAGGTCTCATGCGGAGAGATTAAACAGGTGCTGGTAGAACCATTACAAATCTCATATCAACACAAAAAGCAGATAGCCGTCGACTCGGACTATGCAAGTGTCAAAAGTAGTATAGCGACAGAAGCCAACAATGTGATATCTCAATTAAATCCATCCGCACTTTTGCAGGAGCAAAAACAAAGATTAATATTTGGTGATTAGCAGGTCGCGCAGGGAGGCAGGGGAGGCATTGGACAGCTGCCGCCAGGAGCGAGACATCGGACCGCCGCGACCACTGCTGAGCATCTTGGATGCATCCCAGATACGGGATAGAAGAGGACGCATGAACGGGGAGGGGATTGATGGGAGAAGTGCTGAGCGTGCGGATGGAGTTGGATGATGCAGCCAGGATCGGCGGCGCCACACGGGATCACAGATGAAACACTCTCTGCTCTCAACGCTAGTTTCATTCAGTTTCATCGTATTGGTAACGGTGCCAACCAAGTTTCATCTCCATGAAACTCTAATATTCTCTTTCTTCTTAATTAACCTGTTAACTCATCACAAATGCTGATGTGGCATAGCAATAAATGAAAATGAAACTCTGTTGAAACCTACATTGAGACTGGCACGAAGCATGTTGATCTAATGTATGTGGGCCTCACTAAGTCTTTAAGTGCTAGAACGATATGTTTGGGGGGACAAAATAATTTGGAACCTGGAATGTCAAAGTTTTTTGGGAGCTAGGTAGTAACCGAGGCCTTGTTTAGATTGCAAATTTTTGCAATCCGGACACTGTAGCACGTTTCGTTTGTATTTGACAAACTTTGTCCGATCATGGACTAACTAGGCTCAAAAGATTCGTCTCGTGATTTACAACCAAACTGTGCAATTAATTATTTTTTTATCTACATTTAATGCTCCATGCATGTGTCCAAAAATTGATGTGATGGAGAGAGAGTGAAAAAACTTGGAATTTTGATGCGATCTAAACAAGGCCCGAACTTAAGCTCTAGAAAGTCTCCCACCCAATCCAAGTTATTGGAAACCCTTCTTCTGGGTCATTCATTTCCAATTTGACATCACGTATAGTTGATGATTGAATGCATGTTTGTTGATCTCCATTATGCTAATGTTGCATAATATAGAGCTACAAGACCAAAAGCAAAGGATCTTGAAGACATGCTAAAACTATCAAGACCATCGACAAGGATCGAAAGAAGAAGCCAAGGATCTTCATTACAATGTAAAAAATAGTGTTAGTCCAGGTGTAATATTAACTATTAAGATTACTCACCAAATCTAAATTATTGATCAAACTGAAGTAACCCAGTAAATCTAAATGATGTACATATATCATTATAACAAAAATATCTCAAAATATTTCTTTATATGCTTCTATGCTACTTTTTTGCACCATTTTAATATAGAAGCAATAATTCAGTATATAAAAAGTTTAATATATAGTTTATAAATGTAAGTTGTTTTTAAATATAAGCTAAAGTAATTCTTGAAGATAATTACCAGAGAAGATCATTAAGAAAATATCCCACAGGATTATATATATGTTTCTAAAATCATGTTATACATGTTTCGTGAGTCACTATGTAGTATGTATTATGTTGATGAAGCCATGATCATTTATACATTGCTAAAGCTAACTTTTTCAACTCAACACATATAGAGATGCGACAGAAAAGGAGAATTATGGATGGAAATGGAAAGAATAAAATTCGTAACTAAAATTTGGCACAAACGGATAAAGACAAAAAGCCATAATATGACTACATATGGGAGTTTCAACTGAACAAATGTTAAACACACATGGATCAGGTCCAATACAAAATGGTTAAGAAAAAGAATGGAAATAAAAAAGGTTGTTAAAGTAACTGTAATTAAAGTTTATCAGAACAGGAGAAAGATAAAGAAACAATTGAACACACGATAGCTAGTTAATAAAAAAATTATGTCAAACATAAATGGAAATGGGATGCAAATGAATCACATATTAAGTGTTAACACTCAGGACTACACAAGAAAATATCCATATGAGTATTGTCTCAGAATATGAGCAAAGACATATTGCAAGTTTTATTTGTCAGGATGCAATTATATGAAAATTTTTAATACCTACAACTCTATTAAATTACTTGTTTGACAGCACGGGCCTTGGATTAGTATCTAATCTAATCTCTAAAAACGATTCGTGCACGAAACCGGGGCTTCCCATTGGGCCACGTTGCCTGCTTCTCTCTCAACCGTCAGATCTCAAACCAACGGCATCAGGCACTTCAACGTGGCTCGTACTAAAGCCTGGTTCCAAATCCTTCATGAAGTCTCGGGGAAGTCCTGGCTTCCGCCACCGCCGAACCGCGCGGGGGCAACCAGCGGTGCCCGTGGTCACTCAGGCATGAGCCGCCTCCGCTGGAGCCGAGGCACGGCGAGGGTGTGCCCGGGCCCGGGGCAGGCTCCAACGCCGCAGGCCACTCTTCCCCTTGCCGGAATCAGCAGTGCCGACCGCTTGTTCTGATCAGCTCCGGTGGGGAAGAATAAGGGGGGAAACCTCGTAGGAGCGAGGGGCACGCGGGGCTGCTAAATTACTTTCCTGGTTGCTGATGATTAACAAACTCCAACGATACTTGTTTGTGTATCTGAGCACTTACTGTCTTTGTATAGCAGTATACACTTTATCAACAGAGAAAAGATCATTAGATAAAAGACGAGCACTCAAATTTTCCAACCACGGCGCCATTTATCTGCAATAAATAAATACTTATCCTACTACACTTTTTAAAACGACTCGAGCGGAAAAAGAAAAGGCCCGTCAACACTGCAAGGCCATACGCGGCAAGGCCGCGAGTATTTCTAGTTAAAATTATCTCATACAGCCGCACGTGCTAATCTCTGCGACCTGACCTGATCTGATGAAATATTCACTTGCGCACCATGGTTGAAAATAAATGAAAGGCGAGCTGCTGGACACATCTTTAAGTGTATTTCTTGTTCGGCTGGGCTTATACGATCGTATACGATCGTGGAATATAAGCTGGAACAGTATTTTTCTCTCACACCAAACCAGCCAAACCAGTCAGCAGTAAATAATTCATGATCATTTACGACGAAACGAACAGGCTGTACGCACCTTTGCGTTTGCTTGGTCGCTAGTGTCTTGGTAGTCTTCAAGCATGTCGGAGATGTCTAAAGCGACGTCATTGAGCCACTTCAGCCATTGCTGCACCTGTTTCTCCATAACTGATCGCCTCTCGGCGTCCTCCAGCACAGCTGAGATGTGCTCAAGATCATCCTTCATGTTCTCCAGGTCGTCGCTGAAGTTCCATAGCAAACTGCCCTGCTCTGCGATGGCAGAGCCCAGCTTATCTTTGGCAATGTCGACGAAACCGGATGCGAGCATGGCAGCTACTTCTCCCGCCATGGCTAGGTGCAGAGCTCTGAATGGGTCTCGCGCTCACGGTTTGTGTGGAATGGTGTGCGCAGGCGGCCTGCGAAGTGCGTAGCTTGTGGTTGTTGGGGTGAGGAACTCTGGATGCCTGGCAATGGTGATGCACTGCGATCCTCCTCTGTCTATGGGCTCTGGTGGTAGCTATATGTAGGGGTGGTACCATTGTGGTATTGACTGTGTGGTCCACCATGTGAAGTTGGAGCTCTTTGTTACTGTTGTGGCAGTGCTCGGCAATGATGACATATGGTGCATGTACGTAGCTGCTGCCAAGTCTTGGTGGGTATTACCTGGCCGTCGTTATCTAGTTTTTGTCAGTTTCCTTTTAGTTAACTATGTGCTTGTAACCTTGTATGTGTTTTTGAAATTTGGTAGCTGTTATAAATTAGTTAGATGTTCTTCCTTCTTAAGCTAATTGCACGAGGTCTTTGCCATTTTCTAAGAGCAACTCCAGTAGCTCCCAAATACAACTCCTCCAATAAAATGTTAATGGAGAAGACCTAATACTACTTTTCAAATTATTGGGAAAGATGCTTTTGTAGATCACCAATAACTCATCTCCAATATAAATGGGTCCTACTTGTCAATGAGAAGTTTATATTTTCTTTTTTTCCTCCCTTCCCTTCTCCCACGCGGTCTTCTCTCTTTCCCCTCCGCCAGTTCATTCTTTTCCCGTTGCTGTTGCTGTTGCTTCTTCTTTCCCAACTCCCAAGCTGGTGAGCTACGAGCAGCAGGCAACCAGACCGCAATGTCCTAGGCAACGAGGCGCTGGCCGGGACCCTAGGCCGGACCTCCAGATCCCAGCCATGGCGTGGCCCCTTCTCTCCCCCAGATCCGTGCCATGGCCTGCACGGTCAGGTCGCAGAAGGCAACCACCGCCATGGCCCACACAGTCACGTCGTCGTTAGGTGGTGGGATGGAAGAGCAGTAAGACGAGGCCGTCACTACTACAGAAAACTTTATGGAGGAGGTCGTTTTTTATTTATGGAAGCGGGCAAAGCAACCGCCTCCAAGTAAAAGGTCATCGTTCATGGGAGAACTACGGAGGTGGTTGTTTGCCCGCCTCCGTAAAACTTACAGGAAAAACAAAAAAAAAATCCGTGAACAAGCCCGCCAAGCCCATCCACTGGCCACCGCCGCCGCATCCGCTCACCGGTGCCTGGACTGCGTGCAGCCAACAAATCCTACCGCCAGATCTAGCCGCCCGCCGCCAGATCCAGTGACCCGCCGCCGCATGCGCCCTCTCCGGCCACATCTGGAGATGATGGAGTGGGAGTCAAGATGGCAACGGGTACGTACCCGATGGGTACTGGCCACCCGTACCCGCACCCGTCAGATCAAAATCTTACCCGTCGGGTTACCCGTACCCGCAGGTGGGTAGAAAATTCATTCCATACCCGCACCCGACGGATAATTCTTACCCGACGGGTAATTCTTACCCGACAATATATCCGAGTTCACACACCAAAATATAATAGCTTCCAGCAAAACAAATCAACAATAGAGCAGCAAAATAGAAATATGGGCTGGTGGAGTGGAGTGAGGAGCAGGCCACCGTCTCCGCGAGGAGATGTAGCGCGCGCCGGATCTAACCTCCCCGGCCATGAGAAGGAGGGAGCCCGCCGCCGTGGTGGAGAAGAGGAGGAGCGCGCGCTGAATCCGGCCTTCCACACGCCGCCGGGCTAGATCCGGAGGGGTAGAGGAGGAGCGCCGCGCCGTGGTGGTGGAGCCGCTCCGTGGGAGGGAAGGAGCCCGCCGCCGTGCGCAGTGGGTGAGGGAGGGAGCCACTTGCCTCGAAGGCGACAAATGACAAGAGCAGGGCGCTGTCGACGTGACTACCAGCACCATGGATGGAGGGCGAGCTGTTGTGTGCTGATGGCGATGGCCAGAGAGTGGTTGTGCTTGCTCAGATGAGCACGGGAAAGAGCCGACTTCCTGGGGTCGGCTATTGTTCACAGCACGCAGGAGGAAGAATAGGCAGTTACCATGGGGTCCATCTTATTGGGATAGATCCAACTCCCCCTCTATTTGAGGGTAGAAGAGGAGTTTTTTTGGTGGCCACCAAAAATAGGGGAGCTTATTGGGGAACTGCTGGAGTAAGAAAAAAGCTCCATATCCCCCAATATGATAGTTTTATGGGAATGAAGAGCTTTATTGGGGAACTGCTGTAGATACTCACTACGCTAGATTTGCACATCACTGCCGGCATCATCACTGCCGAATTTGTGAGAACCGGCAGTGATGTTCCTTCACTGCCGGTTATGAGCTTGAAAATGAAAAAATGATTGGTGCTGGGCCAAAACCAGCAGTGAAGGACCACATCACTACCGGTTTATGGCTTCAACCGGCAGTGTTTTGGCGGGCACTCATCACTGCCGGTTTAAGCCAAGAGCCGACAATGATTTGGCTCTATCACTGTCGGTTCTAACCAAGAACCGACGGTGATAAGCCTACAACATAAAAAGGCTGCAGCCATCCTCTCCTTCCTCCTCTCTTCCATCCCAAGAACAGAGGCGCGCGTTTGGACCCTTCCCTCCATTGTTGCAGCTGCTCTTCACCATGAAGCTAGTGCTTGGATTTTGAAGAATGGCTTGATCTTTTTGCTTTAAGGTTAGTAACAAACATCCACTCCTTTGATTTTATTGCTTAATTAGCTTTGTTTTGATGGCTACATTGCTTGATTCTCATTCTAGTTCTTTCTCCATTCTAGAGAGCACTTTTCCAATTGGACATTTGTGCAAGGCTCAAATTATGGTGAATCCATCATCCAAAAGGTTGGTGTCTATGACACATTTAAATTCCTAGCTAATTATTCCATGGTGGTCAAGATCATCATTGTTAGTATGTGATGCTATAATTAGTTCTTAGAAGTAGAGTAGAATAGTTGTTCTTCAATATTGTGCAATAATTGTTTTTTACTATGATTTTTAATTTACAGGACCGGGGCTACCAATTTCAATCTTTCAATAATTAGTGTACAATAATGTTTTCCAAAAATGGTACTTTCGAGCTACAATTGTTGTTCATGAAGCTCGATTTCTTATTAATTCTTTGTAATTACTGTCTCAGTATTTTTTTGTGCAGAGATGGATCGAGAGTGGATGCATCTGTCCCGAACGGACAAGTGGTACATGCATGGCGTCAGCCAGTTTATCACCGATGCCAAAGCCCATGCTGGGAATGGGAACCCTGTCTTCTGCCCATGCAAAGATTGCAAGAATCATAGGAACTTTCATCAAATTGAGTCTATACGATCGCACTTGATTAGCAGGGGGTTCATGCCAAACTATACGATATGGACTATGCATGGCGAGGTTGGTGTGAATGTTCTGCAGGAAAACAATGATGATATGGACATGCCTAACGTAGCCATCCACGATGCTGACGAGGAACCCGGTGTCAACAAGGAACCTATGGCCATAGTTAATAATGTGTTTAGGATCACACTAGCTGATAACACCGAGGATAACGATGGCATTTCTTAGCTACTACGTAATGTAGAGACCGGATGTCTTAGTGAAAGACAGCTGAGAAAGCTAGAGAAAATGAGACAAGATGGCAAAACACCATTGTATAGGAATTGTCCAATGAGCAAACTAGAAGTCGATGTCATGCTATTAGAGTTCAAATCGACAAACGGAATGAGTGATAAAGGCTTCGATCAGTTGTTAGGTATAATAAGGAAAATTCTCCCAGAAAAAAACGAGTTGCCAGAAAAGACATACTTGGCCAAGCAAATGATCTGCCCCATCGGCCTCGAGGTTGAAAAAATCCACGCATGTTCCAATGATTGCATATTGTACCGTGGAGAAAAATACAAAGACTTGGACAAGTGCCCCAAGTGTGAAGCTCCACGGTACAAGGAAGGGCCGTCAGATGAGGGTACCAAGACCAGAGAAGGTCCCGTAAAGGTCGTTTGGTATTTCCCTATAGCTCCCCGGATGCATAGGCTGTTTGCATGTGCAAAGTCAGCCAAGCTGTTGCGCTGGCATGGCGAAGAGCGTAAGAAAGATACAATGATGAGGCACCCCGCTGATGGGCATGACTAGAGGACTGTCAATACTATGTTCTATAAGGACATCGGTGGAGAGGTAAGGCACCTTTGGTTTGCTTTGAGCACAGATGGGATGAATCCTTTCGACTAGGTTAGAAGCAATCATAGCACCTGGCCAGTGACGCTCTATATATACAACCTTCCACCTTGGGTCTGTATGAAGCGGTCGTACATCCAGATGCCACTACTGATCCAAGGGCCAAGACAACCTGGGAATGACATCGATGTGTTTCTGGAACCAGTGATTGATGAACTAGTGGAGATGTTTGAAAAGGGTGTGCTGGATGTTTGGGACGAGTACAAAAAGGAACATGTCACGATCAAGGGAGTACTTATCGCTACAATCACCAACCTGCCAGGTCGAGGTTCGTTGTCTGGAGAGAAGACAAAAGGCTATACTGGATGTGTCGAGTGCTTGGACGACACCGATGCGGTAAATCTGCCAAATAACTCAAAGATAGTTTATATGAGACACCGTAGGTTCCTACCTAAGGATCACCCTTACCGTAGGAACAGAAAAGATTTCAACGGTACTATTGAGAAACGCTTAGCTCCAAAATATCGAGACGGGCCTGTGATACTTCGAAAACTCAAAAAACTGTAGGTTGTCCTTGGGAAGGGGGACAATGTAGTAGTAGCGCCTGATGGGAGAGTTTGGAAGAAAAAATCAGTTTTCTGGAAACTATCTTACTGGCCATTTCTGAGTGCACGCCACTGTCTTGATCCCATGCACATCACTAAAAACGTGTGCGCTAACACTCTTAACACCTTGATGGACACCGGGGGGATATCGAAGGATTCACTAGCCACACGCCTGGACATGCAACACTTGGGAATCAGGAAGGAGCTGCATCCCGTGGAGCTAGAAAATGGCCAGTTCGAACTTCCGATTGCGTCATGGATATTGAAGAAGGAAGAAAAG